TAGGAAATGAAAGAAATCTCTCTTTAGGAATGGAAATTCACTCCTGCCAAAGCTTTCTCACCAAGCCTTGTTTCCACAACAAGCCACATTTTTCTAATTATCAAGGGGAAAAGAAAGTGAGGTGAAATCTTCTGGGCACAGGGCTCTTTCAGACAGGCCCTATATCTCTGGAACTGATCCCAGGTTTTCTGTTTATCCCAGGGCTCTTCCCCACAACCCTATATCCCAGAATATGAAGGCAGAAAATCCCACAATATCTGGTTTGAACTGAGGTGTCTGAGTCCACACTCATATAATGTGGGATTTTTTGCCTTGATATTCTGGGATATAGGGCTGTGTGGAAGGGCCCTCTGTTTATCTTGCAGAGGGGACACATATAATCCTGTTTAAAGCAGAAAACCTGGGATCAGATCCTGAGATATAGGGCCTGTCTGGAAGGTCCCAAAGACAGCAAGAGTAAGACCACGGGGGTGTAACCTTTCCCTATGCTATCCAAAGCTTTTATTTACACACACACACACACGGCTGGAGTTACACTTTCTGACGTACATACAAATTCAATTTACGGACAAACCTACAGAACCTATCTTGTTTGTAACGTGGGGACTGTCTATGTACTGGTAGAATAGTTATGAAAAAACTATTATTTACAGCTAACTGATCAGCATATGTAAGGCTTGCTTGACAGGCTGGTTTTCCTCTTTATGACCCACACAGCTGTATAAATTGATCCACACAGGTGTATAAAATCCACATGGAACTGGATTATATGGCAGTGTGGACCCAGATAATCCGGTTCAAAGTAGATATGGTGGATTATCTACCTAGATATTCTGGGTTTTATGGCTGTGTGGAAGGGCCCTTTGAAGCACAGCAGAAGCACTTTCTGCAGAGTCCACTGTAAACACAGCACAACAGATTCATGTCACTGTCTGCCACATCTACTAGGTGACCTTCAGAAAACTTTTCCTGTTGCCAATTTATTTGGGGGGGGGGGTACCTACATTGATCCAAGGGGATCCCATTTGTGGCCAGGGCCCACGGTTTAGAACACTGTGATCTAGTTCGCCACATCTTAAACTGTGGGTCCTGACCCTAAATGGGGGTCACAAAAAGAACTGGCAACAGTAAATGGTTTCTGAATGCTGCCTAGTGTTGTAGACATTTACACAAATCTGCTAACAACAATGTTCAGTGGTTACAGTGCCGGGAAGTAGCAGCCAATAGTGAAAGGACCAAGGCAGAGACATCTCCAGCTCATCCCTTGTTTGGGTATCAGCCAGCACGTCAACGACTTAAATCAAGAAATAGTTTTCTTAGATCTACAGAGACACTCGCTGGAACACCTCAGCAAGCGAGAGTCCAAAAGTGGCAGGCTCAAACCCAGCACCTCAATCCGTGGGTGATACCAGATGAGAGACTCCCCCCTGGGCACACAGAAGACTGGGCGACTTGGAAGGCACTGAACAGACTGCGCTCTGGCACCACGAGATGCAGAGCCAATCTTAAGAAATGGGGCTACAGGGTGGAATCCATGGCATGCGAGTGCGGAGAAGAACAAACCACTGACCACCTGCTGCAATGCACCCTGAGCCCTGCCACATGCACAATGGAGGACCTTCTTGCAGCAACACCAGAAGCACTCCAAGTGGCCAGATACTGGTCAAAGGACATTTAATCAACTACCAAGTTTGCAAAATCTGTGGGTTTTTTTAATCTGTTTGTTTGTTTTGTTCTGTTAGAAATGTAATACAATGGTATGGTTGTTGATGACACGATAAAAAAATAGTGGTTACAATGGATTGCAAAAGATACTTTAGCTATATTTTGTATATGTAGCCCCCGGTGGTGCAGTGGGTTAAATCCCTGTCCCGGCAGGACTGAAGACCGACAGGTCGCAGGTTTGAATCTGGGGAGAGCACAGATGAGCTCCCTCTATCAGCTACAGCTCTCCATGCAGGGACATGAGAGAAGCCTCCTACAAGGGTGGAAAAACATCAAAACATCCAGGCATCCCCTGGGCAACGTCCTTGCAGTTCTCTCACACAAGAAGTGACTTGCAGTTTCTCAAGTTGCTTCTGACACGACAATAAACAAACAAACAAACAAATAAATAAATATTTTGTAAAAAAGGGGAAATCAGCCTGTTTAGCAAGCCTTTCAAATACTGATTTATTACCAGTAAATGTTTTATTTTTAACCTATATACCCCAGGGTAAAAATTATTTGAGCAAAAAGGGGTCACGAGTGGAAAAAGTTTTAAGAAGCTCTGGCTGATTCCACTTTAACGTGTTGATTTAACGTGTTGATTTTTATATTTGCATTTGAGATACATGCTATCCATTTGTCCTTGTATTTAAACAGGAAATGTCTCTATCTTTGCCCTCTCTAGCATGATAAAGATGGTTTCCCCTCTTTCTCCCTTGTAATTTGACAGCTAATTTCTGTCTCTGTGATAAGTTGTTGATATCCTCTTTACCTATGTCAGCTTGTGGTCACACTCCTTGAAATCATATGCAACATTTATCACATCAACATTGATCCATATAGTTCAACACAGTTCAGAAATAATACATACATCCGGGGGGGGGGGGGGGTGGTTGAGTACAAAACAAGGTTATATCCTATTAAGATACACATTTATACAGTGCTACAGTCCTCTGTCCCTTGGTATGAAGTCTCATATTGTATATCTGAGAAAAATACTTAACATCAAATTCTGCTTTCCAACTTTCTAAGAAAACATACACCCCTTACTGTGATAACTAAAATTGGGGAGACTTGGGGAACTGGGAACTTAGACACAGTGGAGACTCAAAAGGACAACAGCTCCTCCAGCCTCCCCCTGTCCTCCCACAGTAGCTGGCTCCTACAGCTCTTGCAGATACATATCTTCCCATTTGGTTTCAATAGGAAGGAATTAGTTTTAAAGAAAAGGAGGCAAACAACCAAATAATAGGATAAAAGGATGTAGAAACCGCATTTTTCTCTTTCGTCTGCCCTGTTGGATTGCAGAAAGCCCAAAGGCTTTCCTATTACAGCTCTCCGATAAGATAAGGGTTACAATTGCTTTGTCAAAATCATTGTTTGAGTTGAAGGTTACATTAATCTTCTAAATGGAGTGTTAACATGTGCTTGATTTTTACTAAATTGTACTTTTCAATAACATGCATGTAGATACAAGAAAGATGGAAGTATTATTTTGTATTATTTATCTCAACTAGACTGTTGTACATTTATTTAAATAGTTCAGAGACATCTTTATGTGCTTTTATGGGCATGTTTTAAAATTTACCTATAGAAAGCTGAAATTCATGCTTCAAAAAAGGTTATTCATATTTCAGGACACCTATAGAAAGGGAAAATATCTCTGGTTGTCTTGAGAGTTTTAAATTTTGTAAAAATTGTACTTGTTTATCCAAGAATTGCAAGAAGAACAAAACTCACAATGAAGCCAATCAAACACCTTTTTGAGCCTCTTTAAAGAATAATTCAAGGGATGAGGTGAAGAGAACCATCTTATCTGATATTGTGGCATCTGTTTGATCTCATTTAGTGGAATGTGAAGATGCAGATTTGTATTGGAAGCCATCCTGTTTTCTTTTGAAGAAGAGTAGAACTCTTAATTATTTTCATTATTATTTAGAAGAAGAAATTTAAAGATGAATGACAATCATCTTTTGGATCAGGGTGCGAGATGGAGACAACTTTTGTCATCCTGGTAGAACAAAAGGGAGAATAAGGTGTGCCACATCTTGTTTTGGGGTAAATCTTTCTTTTGACATTTTATGAATAATATCCAAAATGTCTTTTATCTCAAAAACTGGAGAGAAAAAAAGAAATTACTTCAATTGGAAACTTCTTTAATAGCAATTTTGTAGTGAGATGACCTATACATTTAAAGTATTAAAATTCAGTATTCACTAGAGTGCTTCTGTAAGTGAGTATGTGAAAAGTGGACCAGTTCTTTGAAATGTCAACAGTGGAAAAAAGACATCAGATGGTCTCCCTCCTCTTTCTCTGAAGAAAAATAGTGCTTCTCAGAATAAGTACAGGCAGTTTCCAAATAAAGAACAAGATGGGTTCTGTAGGTTGTTCTTAAGTCGAACAGGTACATTTTAAAGTGTGTTGTTGTTGTTGTTCATTCGTTCAGTCGCTTCTGACTCCTCATGGACCAGCCCATGTCAGAGCTTCCTGTTGTCCGTCACCACCCCCATCTCCTTCAAGGTCAAGCCAGTCACTTCAAGGATGCCATCCATCCATCTTGCCCTTGGTTGGCCCCTCTTCCTTTTTCCTTCCATTTCCCCCAGCATCATTGTCTTCTCTAAGCTTTCCTGTCTTCTCATTATGTGGCCAAAATACTTCATCTTTGCCTCTAATATTCTAACCTCCAGTGAGCAGTCGGGCTTTATTTCCCGAAGTATTTTTAAGTGTAACCTCAGCCAAAAAACCTTTTCTCCATGATAACACTTTCAGTAGTGAATTTCCCTTTCAAGGGGTAGATTTTTCTCACATCCTCTTGTCTCACACTCTATGAGTTGTTTGTGAGTTGGACGCTTGTAACTCGGAGACTGCCTGTAGTTAGTTTCTGTCTTAACGTGCAGATTCAAGGTGATAATGAGCAGTGTCAGATTGCCTTTTTATCCTTGAGGTTGATGTCTGTGATGATATTTGCTCTCTTGAATCATCTAGAGTACCTGTAATTACCGTATTTTCCTTGTGTTGTGCTTACTTGTAATATGTCATTGTCTAAGTGGCAAGGGAATTTTTTAAACCCAGCAGTATATTTGCACTGTGTTTGATTATATGTTTCCATCTTTTAGATTGCTTACTCTTGTTGGTGTACAAGGAGAAGTATGAGCGACTAAAGGGGTTGAAGGAGCGGAGTAGTGTAACACTGGAAGACATTTGTGGCTTGGAACCTGGACTCTGTTATGAGGGTCTGAACCACACACTTGCCATCATCTGCTTGACTCAAGTTGTGATGCTGGGCTTTGAGAACAAGGAAACTATGCATGCCTGGGATGTACGCATCCGCTACTGCCTTGGTGAAGGTAATCTCTTTTTCTCAGTTCATTGTTACATTAACCTCAATTCTCTTGAGTGGTGAGAACTTTCAAGGGCATAGCACTTGGAGTGTAGTCACAGAATACACATTGGTGTTTTGCAACATTGACATTTATTTACAAGTACACAGACATGTGGAGGCTCATAGCTTAATGATCCAAATCTAGTGCTTCCACTAGATTTGGAGCATAATACTTAGGTGAGCAGGGTGTACCCTAGATCAAAAGCTCGATTCTGATTTGGACGTTTTATGGCAAAAGCTCTATTCTGATTTGGTCCTTTTAACCTTGAAAGATCTGGGGGTGGTGATGGCCTACAGGGGCCTCTGGTGTGGGCTGGTCCAGGAGGTCATGAAGAGTCGGAAGAGACTGAATGAATAAGCAACAAAAATGTCTTGAAATTACCACTGTGTCTTCAAGCTCTCTATTTATGTTTGGTGCTGCTATGAATTTCACAGAATCTTCTTAGGCAAGAAATACTCAGAGGTGTTTTTGCCAGTATTTTCAACTGAAATCTACAGAGATTACTTGCTTAATCAACCCCAATTACGATAGGGGAAAAAAAGAAGCAGCTTATTGAGAAGAATTTGGAAATGCAGTTATAGAAAATGAAAATCTCACTATCCTGATCATTTTAAAAATTCTGCACGCTAGCATTCCAAGTTAGCATTTATAAAATCTGTCTGCTAGATACTTTTGTACACTTTTCCAAGATAGATAGAATCACCAAGTGATTTAATATGTAAGTGGAATTTTGAAACTTTAGGATTCACACTAAAGGAGGAGATCTGAGTGCAACCAAGTTTTTAACATGTATATATTGACTCACAGAATCACAGAATTTGGAAGACAGTTCCAAGGTTCATTCAGTCCAACCCCCTGCCATGCAGGAATATGCAATCAAAGTATGCCTGATAGATGGACATAAAGTCTCTGTTTAAAAACTTTCATAGAAGAAGATGCCTCCATAATATTAGGCAGCATATTCCACTGTTGAACAGCTCGTACTGTCAGGAAGTTCTTTTAAATATTCATGTGGAATATCTTTTGAATCTAGGTTCTTGTGGGTTTTTTCGGGCTATAGAGCCATGTTCTAGAGGCATTTCTCCTGACGTTTCGCCTGCATCTATGGCAAGCATCCTCAGAGGTTGAGAAGGTCTGTTGGAAGTAGGAAAAATGGGTTTATATATCTGTGGAATGGCTGGGGTGGGGCAAGGAGCTCTACTTTGTGTCTCAGACACTGAAGCAGAGAGACACAAGTTTTTGCCTTCTTCAATATGAGATCCTTTCAAATATTTTAATGTGGCTGTCATGTCATATCTTAACCTTAGCTTCTCCAGGATAAACATACCCAGCTCCCTAAGCCAGTCTTCATAGGTCATGGTTTCTGGACCTTTTAATATTTTGGTTTCCCCCTTTGCACATGTTCCAGCTGGTCAACATCCTTTTTGTCATTCTTGATATAATTTCTAGCACTTTCATACAGAATTTTTCAGCTGGGGAGCAATAGAGCCACTTGTGAATATAGAAGCTGGGATTGGTTCAAGCTTCTCAATAGCCTGAAGATTTACAAGGAGAAAGATCCGAATGGATTAAGATCCTGCTCCCCATGGGATGCCAAAAGAGTGCTGCCACTCCCATTTCATTCAGTCGGCTGAACTCTGATTTCCACCATATTCTAACATTCGTTGGTAGTTTGTAGGGAGCATCTAACAGCCATCTGTGTATTCCAGATAGAAGCCCCTTTGTTATAAAGTTGGAGGATATGCACAATTAATTAAGCATATAATTGTTCTTGGGGTTCCATATTAGCAAAATAAATGTTTTATGATGCTATGAATTTGAAAGCACTTCAAGCATGAACTTTGGAGGTCTAAGCATATAAAATCTGTTCTGGCCTGGCAAAAGTCAATTTACATTTCTATCCCCTTTAAAAAATGCTTTTAATCTACAAAGCCTTAGAGAGCTCAGGGCACCACTATACATGATGGGTCAGCTCTCCTGTCATGAATCAAACTATACCCTGAGATCATAATCTGAGGCCTTTGCTTCATACACATATCCAACTTGACCACTTTTGTATTGGTCAAAGTGCATTGACTGATCTTATTTTCACTCCTTCCTTAGATCATAAAGCGGGTTATGCTATGGCCTTAACACTTGTAGCCCAGTGCTTTCCCTTATGTCAAGTGCTTTCAGTCAAAATTGATGGAAGGTATGTTGAGTTCTCTGCCAAGATAGCAAAGAAGGAATGGGAGGTTTCAGCCAGCTGTTGCTTCATACTGTGGTAGGCTGCACCTGTTTAGGATTCCAGCCAGCCATGTCATCTATCAGGATGATCCATTCCATTTCTTTTCTCGCCTGCCTTTCAGTTCTCCACCTTGTTGTCACTGAGTCACCAATCTGTGGTCTGTGACCATTCTCAGGCCTCCTTGAGCAATTCTAAGACTTACCCTCTGGTTTTTTATAACGTGGTTTTTAAAAAACATTTCTGCAAAACTTTATGTTCTCAGGTTTGCTGATACGTCCCACATGCTCATGAGTTAAGCTATTTTGGCTCCACAAGGCTTTACTGTAGGAGAATGAATTGTTTTAAATTGGAAGAAGGAAACTGTCAAATTAAGGAGAAAATATAATCTTGACAGAGACTGAGATTCTCTGACAGACTGTAACTTGGTAACCACATTAGATCACTCCTTAAAACCCCAAGAGTCATAATTCTTTTCAGTTATCCTACAGGATTGATGGCATTGTCAATATCGCTTGTGCTGTGTAAAGTGTATTTGATCTTGATTGTGATCAAATTGTAACCCATGCCTAATTGGGATTATTCAGAGTCCAAATAACATGTGACTCTCAATATTTATAAAAGAGCTTAAGCATTTTTTTTTTTTAAAAAAGGAGAGAAACAGATTTAACGTGCTGCCCAAGCAAAACACTGTGTTGGGCAAAGACACATTATTTTAACTTAAAGTAATATTGTTTTCCTTCTGTGTATATTTCTTCCCATTTGTGAAAGTATTTTCCTTGTATTTTAATGTGATTAAATGCTAGTTGATACTCTTTTTGTTAAGTCTTGTAATAAATGTTTGCAAAATATGAATATTTCAGGGTTTGTTTTTTTAAAAAAAACTTAATTCAGTTCCTTGTCACTTCAGTTTTCCACCTCTGCTTTTCCCCTGAAAGTTCACAGGTTTCATGTTGTGGTTGCACCAGGAACTAAACTGGAAAGTGGTCCAGCAACTCTTCACTTCTGCAATGATATTCTAGTACTAGTAAGGGACAACCCACCTACTATTATGGGGCAGTGGAAACTCTCAGATCTGCGGCGGTATGGAGCTGTTCCTAACGGATTTGTCTTTGAAGGTGGAACTCGATGTGGCTTCTGTAAGTCACTATTTAACTATTTCACTATTTGATTATAGAAAGGATTCAAACAATGCCAAGCTGTTCTAAAATGTTTATACATTTGGAATCCTCCCTCACCTGGTTTTGTGTGTGTGTGTGTGTGCATTTGTGTGTGTATAGTGTTGCTCTCTATGTTAGTGCTAACTGTGATTATAAATATACAGGAGAAATAGAAAGGCAATATGAGAGCCTGGAGAATAAAAAAAGCTGTTGAATATGAAATGCAGGAAAGTTGGTCACTCAGTCTTCTTACTCATGTGGAGAATCTCCATACAAGGTTTGTATATTAACAGGGTGAAAGCAAAATTGCGAGTGCTGCTTATTCAGCCTGATACAACATATGGTAATTCCTGAGCTAGTACCAAGACATTGCTCAAGAAAGCTGAACTTTGAGAAAAAGAGATTTGTGCAGTCCCACAATTTATCAGATTACATATTGCGATTCTCAGATTCAATTTTTTTTAACTACTGCCCTAGTTCTGGCTTAGAATGCAAGAAAGAGATTATCTAGTCTTAAAAGCCAGCATTTTCCAGATTTTGGCATATTCTCTTCCATTGTATGAAACACGAGCAGAAAAAAGCAGTAGAATATCATACTTTAGTATAGTACATATTTTAAAAATGTAGATTATTTTTGAGAACAAATGCTTTCTTAAAATTGAATTTGGCCTCATTTCTAGAATATACCTATACAAAAAAAGAAATACAGGCATATTCATATTGATGGAATGCTGGCAATTTTTTACACAAAGCACTTAATTCAAAGATGTTTCATTGAAGATTAGGCCTTTCCCTTCTGGCTTCCAGGTCTCAGAAAATGTATGAAAAGGTGCTTTAAATACTTGATTTTTTTATGTGTTTAGCTATTCACCAGGACTCTGTTATGCTTTACCAAAGCAGCAGTCCATGAAAATATTAAGCTAGTATACAACACTAGCATAAGAAATTGCCTCTCGAACACTTCCCTGCCCCATTATAAGATTTAGCCTCGGTATCAAAGCAATAGTCTTAAATATCAATACTGTTATGATATTTCTAGGATCAGAACATAATACACAGCCTAAGAACTTCTTCAAGGTATCACAAGATGCATGCAGATGTATATAATTAAGATCATTAATGAAGCAATACTCAGATCAGCATAGAATCTAAATTGCTCCACATGTTTTGCCTGATGCGGTATTTGCCAGGAACTAGCATATTTGCTGTTGTATGCCCTTCGATTTCCTTGTACGCCTTTGTGAATGTTTTACACTTTGCATAAATTTGTTATCCTGTACTTTTTTCAAGAAAAATCATAAGTATTTTGATTTCTTGCAGGGGCTGGAGTTTTTTTCCTGTCTTGCACGGAAGGAGAGAAGATCAGTTTTCTTTTTGACTGCATTGTTCATGGCATCTCTCCAATGAAAGGCTCTTTTGGCCTACGTCCTGTTCTACCAGGTTAATACAAGAAATATAGAGTAACTACTTAAAGGAATAGTACATTTTATTGTACTTGGAACGATAGGTTCCAGGTGCAAGGACTTGAAAGTACAAAATATCAAAATCACTAAATATCGCTAAATGTCAAAATGAGTTGTACATTTTGCCATGGCCATTTCCCTTTGTTCTAGAGATCATATTTTTCTATTTAGTTTTGCTGTGGATTATCTTGCTATATATAAATATAAAATACTAAATAGAGATTTTGGGGACCTGCATCTTACCCATTTTTAAAGCAGTGTAAAACTAATCTGAAAAGTGGTAGTAACTTGTCAAGCCATCTTTTGGACACATACCTTCATGTGTTGAGAGAAATTCAGTGTTTCATATAGATGGGGAAAATTCTGTGAAGACTGAACTTTATCAAGAGTGTATATTCCCACTTGGAACTCCCAGAGCAGAAGATTTAAACTATACTAACATCGGGTTGTTCTGAGTTTTCCAGGCTGTATAGCCATGTTCCAGAAGCATTCTCTTCTGACATTTTGCCCACGTCTATGGCAGGCATTCTCAGAGGTTGAGGAGTCTGTTGGAAACTAGGCAAGTGGGATTTATATGTCTGTGGAATATCCAGGGTGGGAGAAAGAACACTTGTCTGCTTGAGGCAAATGTGAATGTTGCAATTGGCTACCTTGATTAGCATTTAATGGGCTTATGACTTCAAAGCCTGGCTGGTTGCTGCCTGGGGGGATCCTTTGTTGGGAGGTGTTAGCTAGACCTCATTGTTTCAAGCTGCAAGGCCATTAAATGCTAATTAAGGTGGTCAATTGCAACATTAACACTTCTTTCAAACAGACAATAGTTCTTCCTTCTACCCTGGACATTCCACAGATTTATAAACCTCACTTGCCTAGTTTCCAACAGACCTCTGAGGATGGCTGTCATAGTTGTGGATGAAACATCAGGAGAGAATGCTTCTGGAACATGGCCATACAGCCCGGAAAACTCTCATGCAGAAATGGATGGAATTTCAATATGGAATCCATTCAAATTCTAACAAGAAATCTTCTGGTATGAAACAAGAGAGTCAACGTGGCATAGAGGTTTTCATATCGGACTCAGACACTAGGAGACTAAGGTTGGAATCCCTGTCTTCATCTTTCAGTCCTCCTGGGTTTCCCTATTGTTTTTTTCCCATCTGTTTTTATAGTCCATTAAGGAAAAAAAATAGCTGTATGATGCCTTTTGATGTGGGCAGTAAGACTCTCTGTCTGGAACCACCTACAATTAATCTCTTAAATTTGAAAAAAGCCATAGAATATTGGAACACCCACAGTTTGAAGTATTTTAAGACATCGCCAGATATTCATTAAAATCTAGATTAAAAGGACATATCCTACAAAATCAAATAAGGACAAGATTTAAAGTAAGGTAATTTTCATTTCACCTCCTACTTACTGCCAATGCAGAAAGCAGAGCCCAAGTTTAGCTGTTCAGATGACTTTCAGAAAGTATAGTAATGATTTCTATCAGTATTTTCTGTAACTGAAGTTGTTTATTAGAAATGGGATGAATAGGAGGATTATCTTGACTACTGAGAAAATTATTCATCTATTGGTAAAGTGATTTTTTTCTAGAAATAGCAGACAGTCCTTCCAATGAGATGCATAGTTGATGAATTACTGGGGAGATATCATTATATTTAATACTGAATGACATGGGCAGTCCCATGTTTTCAGGATCGGATCAAGGCATCTGTAACAATGGATTCTCATTTTAATTCAATCCGATTACAAGACAGAATTCAATAGACTACCCTAAGAGGGACAGTTTTAGTCCACCAGTGTGCTGTGCTCATTCAACAGATTACAAATTGCTTTCCGAAGGAGCATTTGATTATTTTCCCCAAGGATGGATTGGATTCTATTCACAGTACTGTACTGCTTTCAAACAGAATGACAGCATTTCATTTGTCTTTAACTCAAGAAGTGTGAACACATTTATTCCCCCCAAGTGTTTCAGAATGACCAAGGTAATCATCATCCTTCCTCCACTTAGACAGAGATGGGAAGATTGATTCATTACTGCTGAAAGAACATTCATTTTCGTATTTTCATTCCTCCTTTTTTGGTAGAGGAGAAGAACTCTACCAGATTTACCAAAATGCCACTCCAGTATTGTTGCTTGCAAAAGGGCCTCAGAATTACATAGTTTCATTTGAAGAAAAGGTTCATATCTCTCCTCTATTAAAACCAGATTGTTTCTTCAATTATCTAATTAATCTAACTCCCCCCACTTTAGCTTGCTTACTCCAACTTTTTAAATATTGTTTTATTCCATTTCTTATTTTACTGTGTTTAGTTTTTCCCAATTCATGCTTTTTCATATTCCATGTTCCTATAATGTATATTGTGCAACTTCTGACTTTTCTTTTACATCAGTAACTGAATCTCCTTTTGGCTTAAGTCCAGCTGCACCAGTAGTGCAATGGTATTTGTAGTTGGCCTCTGCTCTTCCCAGTAATTCACTGAGTTTATTCTGACCTGAGTGTGTTATCTTCTGACACTATTACATTTCATTTTGGATTGTCTCATCATAATATTTTCATGGTAAAAAGTAATCAGCAGGGATTTAGCATTCTTTTTTTTGTGTGCCATACTAACAAGTGTTAGCTATGGTGCCACTGCCATTGTCTCTCAGAAACAGTTTGCCAATGTGTCATATGCACATACCTCTACTGCCCATTAGCAGTTGCACATATTTAGTCTGATGCCTCAGCAAAAGCCTGTCTGACATGCATACATATCACACATAGATTGGGTCAGCATAAGTAGGAATCATTTTGATGTCAAATAACAACAAAAAGCCAACCCAGCTCTGTAAAATATTACAGTGTTTACTTTTAATTCTTATTGCCTATTTTTTTTCCTTCACAAGAACAGAGACTCTGATTCTCTTGTCACAGAATTCCTTCTTGGAGGGGTCTGTCCACATTTTTTCTTAATTTTCTGGCCTTTTAACAGTACTGTACTGCAAAAGAGACATTCTGTATGACATGGTTGAGATCACAGAATCAAATAATAAGCAAAGTTTGTGCCAAGTGGCCTCGTTTCTTTATGAAAGGGAAATATTAGTTACAGTCAAATCTCAACTATAATTTCATATCATTTTTTAAAAGATCCCAATGCAAACCCTGCATGCATGGAAGAGAGAGTGGCCCATGAAGCTTTGCAGTTAGAGAAGCGCCTCAGTCTTCTGTCTCATGCAAGTTACCATGGCAGTGGAGGTAAGAACACATACAATGTAAGGACATCTATTGTTTTTTCATGTGGCTTCTGTCATTTGTATTCTTTCGATTCAATAATCTTTCTACACCATATCTGGGTGGGGGAGACAGTATTCTTTAAGACTGGAGTCAAACAGGTAAAATGTTATAGAGACATTTGGACAAAAAATACAAGAACACATAGGGAGCTATGTATGTGTAGATTGGGGGAAAAGCTTGGAGGAAAAGCTTGGCGAGAGGGTACATAATCTGACATGATGCCACAAGAATGTGAATGCATATTATTGTTGTGTAAAACTGTTTATTTTATGATATTTTATACTTATCATCAACCTATTTGGATTGTTGTTTCCATGATTTTGATATGTCACAAGCCACTTTGGGTCCTGTGAGGGAGAAAAGTGAGATATAAATAAAAATGATGATGATGATGATGATGATTATGTTATTAATATTAAAAGATTAGAAAAAAATGTCATGTTGAGGCAGGGGCTAGCTTTTTTTCTGCTGCTCTAGAGATCAGAATGTTCAGAGCTGGTTGGCATTGGGATTTGATGCCTCGGAGTGTAGTCGAGCCTCTCTCTAGAGGCGGGATGTCCATCTGTCAAAAGTGCTTTGATTGTATTCATGGCAGAGATTGGACTAGATGACCTTCCTGTCTTTTCCAGTTCTATCATTCTGTATCTATGTGGCTAGTCTTTGAATTATCTAATGAATGATAGCCTAACTATGCAGTATTTATTTATTTATCGTGTCAGGGGCAGACCAAACAGTTGCATTGCATTTTTAACAAACAGACAAACAAAACACAAAGTTTGCAAACTTGGAAGTTGATTAAATGTCCTTTGACCAGTAGCTGGCCACTTGGAGTGCCTCTGGTGTTGCTGCAAGAAGGTCCTCCATTGTGCATGTGGCAGGGCTCAGGTTGCATTGCAGCAGGTGGTCTGTAGTTTGCTCTTCTCCACACTCGCATGTTGTGGATTCCACTTTGTAGCCCCATTTCAACTATGCAATGTGACTCTTTTATTTCAACCATGCATCTTCCTTTCTTTCTAGGTGAAGATAGAAGTTTATCAAGTTCATCTTCAGACACAAGCCGTTCTGATACTAGCATTGGAAGCAGGTTGACTATTTGGCCTGACCAGTCTTCAGCCAGTACTTCTCAAGAGAGTCATGGACATGGAATAGCTTCAGCAAAATGCAGTCACCATGGGGAAGAAAAATCCCACTCAGAAGTTATCCGCAGTGTCACCAAGCCACCTTCTAAACTCCTTCGCTCTAGACAGCTACAAGAAATAGGGCGCCAAAGTTCTTCTGACAGTGGGATAGCTACTGGGAGTCACTCTTCCTACTCTGGAAGTTTCTCCTCCTATGCTGAGAGCCTGGACATTTGCCATGGGGATGAATTTGGGTCATTGTTGAGCCTGCCATTGAACCTTTCTTCAGAGCAAAATGTGTGCACTTGTCTGCGTAGTGAGCAGCAGAGAAGCCCTGGCTTGGAGTACCAGGTTCCCAGCTCCCTCAGGCACACCTACGACACACCCAGGAGTTTGTTGCAGGTACCTGCTAAAGATGTACACAGTTTATGTCCCAATTCCGCCCAATCAAAGGACCAGACACATCAAGAAACAGATGACCTGAATCTTTTGGTACCACATCTGGAAGCACAAACCACTCCTGGATACAGCAGAGAAAAGGGCATGCAGGCAGCCTTTCCCATAGAAAGTACAAAAGACTCATTCTCTGATGAAAGCATGGACTTCATTTTACGGCAGCCACCCCTAAGACAGCAAGGACAGGTGTTAGACTCTAGAAGCACTGAGGGGACTTCGGTTGGTGTGGTCTCCAGCAGCATGAGTGAAATGTGCTGCTCCCTTCCAGGGACATCACGAGCAGTCTTTTCATCTTGCTTAATCTGTGGTGGACTAAAGGTAAATATTTGCATTGAGCATGCATTATCTCACTTGTAGGATTTTTGCATTTTAATTTCTGCCAGGAGGAAACATGTACATACAGATCATTATATTTTTGCATTCATATCCAATATCATGCATCTGACGATGCAGCTAGAATCCATAAAAAATGATCCTAAACAAAACTTGTGAGTCTTAAAGGTACTAGAAGACAGTTTGTTGTCTTTGAAGGCAGCATAGGTTGAGTTCCTACCCAGAGTTGTTTTGTTTTAGCAAGGTGTGTCAAGTGTGCCTTCAGACCATGGCCTAGGACCACTCATGGATAAAGAGGAACCATTGTATCCTTTGTGTTCAATCCACCTAACGTTATCATGGCTTAGCCCACATTTTACTTTATTCTTTTAAGAATATCATAGAGGTCTTTGTCAATGTCAAAGGCCTTGCTGAAATTTAGATACGTTACATTAACAGCATTCCCTTCATTTACCAAGTTTGTAAATCTGTAAAAAAATATCTTTTGTCTGGTATGTCTTGTTTTTGAGAAACCTATATTGATGTTTAGTGAACAAAGCATTTGTTTCTAAGTGCTTACAGACTGTCTGTTTAATGGTCTACTCTAGAGTCTTTTCTGGTATTGATTTATTTTATGTCAAAAGCATTGCATAAATAAACAAGTATAAAACTGATAAAATGGACGGAGCACAAGCAAATAAATATTTTTAGACTAAAACGGGCAACAGCGACCGCATTGTCTGTAGCTTTAAACAATTCTTCCTCTGTGCATGAGGTAGGGCATTGTGGGCAAGCTTACAGATGTGGAGTTGTTTGTCTTGCTCCACAGTTGCACAAGGTGGAGGATTCTTTTAGGTAGTGCCATTTTGCCAGGTTTTCTTTTGATCTGCCCACTCCACTTCTGAGTCTGATCAGAGATTTTCAGGTTTCCCATTGTTGGTTTGGCCTTGGACCCCCATGGGGGGGGGGCATCTAGTTGGGATTTCCTGGTTTAGCTGCCCAGAGGGATATTCTTGCTGTTGTTGGGGGAACATTTAGAGGAGTGGTGGTTCTCATGAAACTTTTCCTTGATTTGAGTCTATTGAGAAGAGGCTGATAGTCATGTAGTGAGTTGCTTTCACAGTGTTCAACCTTATTTCTCTTACAGCAGCAACTTCCCATCGCACTCAGGGGGGGGGGAGGTATAAGTTTGAGACATCCTGTGATTATTCCTATGTTTCATTCAGTGCTATGTGCCAAACAGGGCAGGCAGTTGATTAAAACAAGGCCAGGGCTAATGTTCTTACTAATTTTGGACCTGCACCCCTTGCACTGCCAATAAGTTTCTGCAGGATGTTATGTGTGCAGCTACTTTGTGTTTGGTGTCCATACAATGTTTCCTAAATGGTAACATCTGGCATGTAAAAGTTGACTGGGTGGTAATTGCATGGGTCCTCTCCATCACCCACTCCCCATATCATCTTAGCTCCTTTGAAAGTCTTCCATGAGCAACCAACACCCCCCTCTCGCCCACCATTGGATTGGATTAGAAAACAGGAGTCAGGTCTGAAACTGGCACAGCCTTAATGTGCAAATGGTTGGAGCCTGGAAAAACCATTGCAATGGCTGTCAGGCATGACAGGAGCCTCCCCCCATCCCTTTGATTCATTTTATTTTTAAATATTCTATTGCTGTATTTATTCAGTTATAAGTAGCCAGCCATTGTAAGATACACCCTAATTTCAGTATCACCCCCACCAACAAAAATACGTAAGATACACCTGTGATTTTAAGATGCACTCCATTTTTAGAGATGTTTATATAGGGAAAAGGTGTGCCTTAAAATGGAAGAAATACAGCATTTGGTGTCTCTGTTACCACGGTGAGCCCATTTACAGTACACAGTTATAGTGTCATAGTGCACTAACTGCTATCAACATATCCTATAGAATCCTGGGACAGGCATTTTGTGCCATATGAAGATTAAGCATATTTTACATATTGTAATTGCTTGCAACCTGTCCTCTTATGCTTTCCTTGGTATTTCATTTCCACTTCTCCCTGTGTACAGGCTGGGATCCTAAAAGTTAGATAGAGCATTACATCCAATCAAAATGTTGACCAAAAATGATCCATTGTCCTCCAGTGCATTCCTAGCCATGTCCTAACTATTGAGGTGATGTGTCTTCTGTAAAAGTAGCTAAAGCAGTTGCAGTTAAATAACAAGAGGAGTTAAGTGGCCTTTTAAAAACTTTACAATGGTAATTTCATTATGACCTTATCATCTTCCAAAGACATCTGCTGAAAAAGGGAACACTAAACTTCCTATGAGATGTTATTATGAATGGAAGAGGAAACATCTTTCCTGCAATATGTACTTGGGACTTGGGGCATAGGTTGTTCCTTTCCTTTCCTTTCCTTTCCTTTCCTTTCCTTTCCTTTCCTTTCCTTTCCTTTCCTTTCCTTTCCTTTCCTTTCCTTTCCTTTCCTTTCCTTTCCTTTCCTTTCCTTTCCTTTCCTTTCCTTTCCTTTCCTTTCCTTTCCTTTATCCTTACTCTAATTGGTAGGTTTTCCTTATTTAGCAGTAGCATTGATTGGGTGAGCTGCTCCCCCTGCTGACTGCTATTACAATAGTCATCCAGCTTATGCAAATAGGAGGAACATTTTTTTTCATTCCGCTGTTGAATCATAGACTCATAGAGTTGGAAGAGACCTTGTGGGTCATCCAGTCCAACCCCCTGCCAAGAAGCAGGAAAATCGCATTCAAAGCACTCCCGACAGTTGGCCATCCAGCCTCTGTTTAAAAGCCTCCAAAGAAGGAGCCTCCACCACACTCTGGGGCAGATAATTCCACTGCTGAACAGCTCTCACAGTCAGGAAGTTCTTCCTCATGTTCAAATGGAATCTCCTTTCCTGTAATTTGAAGTCAATGTTCCATTGCGTCCTAGTCTCCAGGGCAGCAGAAAACAAACTTGCTCCTTCCTCCCTATGACTTCCCCTCACATATTTATACATGACCATCATGTCTCCTCTTAGCCTTCTCTTCTGCAGGTTAAACATGCCCAGCTCTTTAAGCCACTTCTCATAGGGCTTGTTCTCTAGACCCTTGATCATTTTAGTCGCCCTCCTCTGGACACATTCCAGTTTGTCAACATCTCCCTTCAATTGCAGTACCCAGAATTGCACACAGTGTGATTCCAGGTGTGGTCTAACCAAGGCAGAATAGAAGGGTAGCACGTCTTCCCTGGATCTAGACACTATACTCCTATTGATGCAGGCCAAAATCCCCTTGGCTTTTTTAGCTGCCACATCACATTTTTGGCTCTTGTTTAAATGTTGAAAATAAATACATTTGAGATTGGCCCGGGATAAATGAATTGAGAATTCTACAGGTATTAAAATAAAATAACGACTTCTTTTATGGAACGTGAAATTGATGAAACAGGAACAATGTGAATGAAAGGAAAAATAGACTAAGACAGTATTATAGACGTTATTGAAATATAGTAAAATCAATAAAGACATTACAGGAATTGGATTTCAGACAAGATGTTTACATTGCTTGTATTAATATTCATGGGCAGATGAAAATTTTAAATGAAGGGTAAAATATAACAAGATACATTGAAAAGACAGTTGTAATACAATAAGATTATTTATTTATTTGCTACATTTGTATACTGCCCCTCTCAGCCCGCAGGTGACTCGAGGCAGTTCACAAGGCAACAATTCAATGCCATCAACATCATAAACACATTTAAACACTTAAAAGCATTAACATATCAAATAAAATCATAACAATAATAAAAACAAATAAATTTGTCTCCTCGATAAAACTTAATTGGGAAACACTACAAGACAAGATATTACTTTGAACTAAATGGGAATAAAATTGGAGCAATATTAAGGTAATAGTTTGAAGATGTATTTACAAAAAATTATAAGAATAGGAATTCTAGTCAAAATTGATAAATTCTTGATATGAATATTATTACTCATAATTATATATTAATTTTCAATATATTATCTTTCAATATATTGCCTTCTATATATCTATAGCTATCTGTCTATATAATAAAAGTCAAAGTATATATGTAAGCATCTATCTGTCCATTTATGTTTGTTAGTGTGTACTATCCAAGATGACCCCCACTTCCAGAAAGCACTGTATCTCCCACCAACAATGGATCTGGCACTAAATTGGCATACAGATTCCACATGACCAACAGAAAATACTGGAGGAGTTTGGGGAGGATAAACCCTGGATTACGGGAGTTCTAATTCACTCACATCCAGATGGCTATCTGAACCCAGCTGATGATGGATCTAGACCAGAGGTTGCAATCCCCCCCCCCCCAAGATGACCAACTTTGAATACTGGTGCACTGTGAACCCAACCGATGATGGATTTGGACGAAAGATGGCACATGCATCCAACATGACCAACTTTGAATGCTGGCGGGGTTTGGGGGGAATTGACCTTAATTTCAGGAATTGGCTCTGGACCAGGCATGGCACACAGACCCAACCTGAGCACTGTGAAACTCACCAATGAAGGATCTGGACCAAATTTGGCACACATAACCATCGTGATCAACTTTTAACTACTAGTGCAGTTTAGGGGCAATGAAAGATGATGCTGGGAGTTGTCGTTAACTCACATTGTTATGTATTTTCTAATGGGAGCATTCATCAAATCTAAAAACAAATAACTATTTCTAATAAGTGCAAATCCCTAACCAGGGCATTGTCAGGTACCTAAGCTAGTAATCAATAAAAAAATAAACACAGTTGACTCTCAGTTAAGCATTACTCATGGAGATTGGTAGATTCTGGATAAATGTAGTTTTGGTTGCTTGAAAGTTTCTATTATAATAGGTCTAACTAATACTATACTCCATACTGTATTGTACCATAAACTCTGTATAGTCTTAAAGTAATATTAAAATACAGTAATTAAATCAAATTAAGACAAACAAAGACAAACTTATTGTAACACAGTTTTACTGTATTACGAAAACAGCTTT